CTATTTATTCAATACATTAAATTTTAACTATTACTATGAGTTTCTGTGGGCAGCGTGAGAGTAGCTAATGAGATCTCATTGGGCATAAATTAGATTATTTAGGATATTTCTTTTGAAATATAACTTAGTAAACTATGCTTAGTTCTAACATTAATTCTTTCAAAGCAAACCAAGCCCAAATTTAGACCAACAATTTAGAATTTTAAATTAGTTTTGACAACTCTTTGTATAGATGTATATTTACACAGGTATATTAAGTATATCCAAAACATATAGATAATGTTTAAATTTAAAAGTTTATTACAGTAAAAGATACATTATTATTAGCTCCTTCAAGGTACTTGATATACATCTCTTGCTTCAGACCCATTTTATGGTATTGCTCTTGACAATATGTCACTTATTGTAATACATTAAACGATTTTTAAACATTAATAGTATTTGATCACCCCTCATGATCCAAAAGGTCCTCAGAATTGGCATTCAGAAAGTAAACTCCTAATGCCCTCCTTCAAACTCTCTTTATCTAGCATTTCCTATCCTAGAATATGCTAAGATCATCCAGAGAGAGAGAGAGAGAGAGAGAGAGAGAGAGGGAGAGGGAGAGAGAGAGAAAGAACAAGGAGGAGGAGGAGGAATAGGGGAGGGGAGGGGAGGACAAAAAGTATAAAGAAACCCGAGAGTTTTCCTCAAATTCTCCCTCCTCCAAAAACTTCATATCCACTCCCGCACTCCAGAAATTCCTTATGTGTTCTACTTGTTCAGTTCTATGCAGCAACCTCCCCTGTCCAATGTGCCCAGTCTCTTCACAACCTAGCTCTCCCAGTAGCCATCCAACAAGTGGCTTTGAGTTTCTTCTCACTCGAATCAATCCGCTCTCCTCACTATACCCAGAGTGATGTTTAACCAGCAGAGAATGCATGTATCACTCCCTGCCTTGAGCCCATGTTCTGATGCCCGTATTGGTCCCTGTAGTCTTACTGTGGACCCTGCCCTGTCCATGTTACACTCATTAATGGAATGTCCCGTGCATCTCTCCTCACACTGGCACCCTTCCTTGCAGACCCTGTCCCCTCCCTGTAGTCCTTACCTTACCTCTGCTGCTTACGCACCCATCTGCCATATTCCCAGAACTTGGCGTCTAATCAAGGAGTGTGAACGGGCCTTTGCTAACTGGGTGAGAAAAGGAATGAAGACTGGACGGAGGATGACTGTCCTCTTGCAAACTCGAGATCCTGAGACTTCACCTCCTGATGACGCAGCTGTGGTGGGACCTTCTGTGAACATGTGCCGGGATAGGAGCTTTGGTTATTTCCTGTCATGTGCACAGTTTTACTTTCTGGCTTTCTTTTTCCTTTTTCTAAAATTCTGTTTTTCTTCTTTATTCTCCTTTTCGTCTCTGCTCTCTGTGTTTCTGTTTGCCTCTAGGAAGTGCAGTTTGAAACAAAAGCCATGTGAATTCCAATTACTATTAAAAAGAATGGTGGGTATTTAAGGGTTTCTAGAAAAGCAACAAAACTCCCTCCGTACATATTAATAGTTGGGCGTCACACACCCCGTTTAAAGTGTTGAACAGGGCTGCTAAAGAATATGTGGTTTTCAATGTTGTGATGATAAAAATGAATTTCAGCAAACACATGATGGTCATATGGCAAGAAGTTTGTCTATTTAATGTTGCCTGCCCCAAGCTATTCCTGAATCATTCTAATGGAATTAACCAGTAAATGAAAGTTTTCCTGGTTCCATCAGAAATACACAGACTACTAATGTGGAAAGCCACACCAACAAACTCACTTGTAACTGCTGAAGTCAGAAATAAACAGTTATGTTTGATCCTTCTTCATGTACGTGTTTGCATTTAGAGCTACTTAGAGTCATCGACATCATCCTGCGTATGTCCCTGAGAATAGTGCAGTAGCTAAATGTTCACACTTGTCCTTTTTTAGCTTTAGAAGAAATGTCACATGCTAGGTTTCTGTAAATGACCCACATTCAGATATGAACCGAACATAATAGCTTCTGCCACTCACCAGCAATGAATGGCTGCAAATGTAGGGCACAGGGCAGAGGACTTGGTAAATTACTTTGTTTCACTGGGTGTCATCAGAACCTATGGCATAATATTCGACCTATTTGATAAACAGTAATGCCTAAGGCATTGTGCATAGGTGGCATGGAGTTTTCTTTTTAATTACATTTTGATGAGATAATTTAAAAACACAAAATCTTCAGACCTATAAAATAGTCATATTGGTAAAGAAAATCCAAGTTTGCAACCATCATCGTGCCAAAATACACATTTCCACTGAGTAGCAGAATTTTAGCTTTCGATTTAAAAGCACTTAAAATTTCAATAATACAGGCCACTTGTACATCCTTAGATTCTACAGTTGTTAAAAATGTTTCATTTGCTTTTTGTTCTCTCTTATTTCAGCTAGTATGATTAAATAGCTTCAACTTGCTATAATTCAATTTGAAAAACATCCGAATTGCAGAAAATGAGTGAACATATATCTCAGTATTTCTGACCCACTTGAAAATAATGAACTTTCATAACTATGACCTTACTATTGTATTAAATAAATACTATTGTATTAATGTATTGCTATAAATACAAAGGAAACATTTGTTTGCTCTCCGTCCTCAACATCACCAATGCAGAATGTTAATGACGTTAGGATGTTTTTGCATTGTTTATTATTTTAGAAATTCAGCTTTTTTGGGGGTTCTTTAATTTTCTGAAGAGAACCAGAAAAGTAGAGAGTCAAAGACATATAAAATGTCTTTATAACCAAAAGAATAAAGTAATTCACTTTCAGATGCATTATGTTGCATAGCTAATATATTGTCAAAATTTTTATAATTATCATTGTTCAATGTATTTATTTTTATTTCACACAGATAAAAATAGAATGTTTTCTCCTGCTGTGTAAACTTCCTTTATAGACTTGTCATATTTGCTATGGACTAATAAATGTTGGTAAATTCACTTGTTAACAACACAGCATGGAGATTTTCCCTCAAAAATGCCACCCAAAATGGTAAGAGAAAAAATTTGACATAAAACTAAAATATAATTAATCTTTGAACAGCTTCCTATATTCCAATTGCCATTTCTTTCTCTGTCAAAACATTTGTTTACCATCGTATAGATGTTTGGGTGTTTACATAATTATTCTTTCACACAAAATGAAAGAGAAATATAAAGGAGACAAACATTTTCTGAGCAAAAGAAACAGAAGCCAGCAGAAAAAGGACTGTGATTCCTAATTAATTCAAAGTTAATTGCACTGTTGATAATCTGGCACTTAAAATCTTCATATAGAAAATGTTTATGGTGGCAAATTGACAGTAATTTAACTTCATTAAATCTTGCTATCATTAAAAGAAAAAGATGAATGTTACATTAAACAAGCTTAAGAGAATGGCAAAGACTAGTTCATGTTTAACAAGCCAACTATTAAATCACTGAAATGGCTGACCTAGAAATCTCAAAGCACAGTAGAAGCAGAAGATGTCTTTCAAGATGGTACCAGGCAGACTGAGGCTCTAACTCAGCAGTAAAATGCTTGCCAACCACATACTGAGTCCTGGGTTCAATCCCCACATTGATAGAAAAAAAAGAAAAAAGAGATTGCAAGATGGCACCAGACCATATGATTAAAGGCAATTTTGCACCTATATTCATTGTGATGAGTGCAAAGTATGTGAAAAAGACACCTACTCCACATTTAGTGATGAGGTTCAAAAAATCTATTTTAGTGTTTTAGAATCAAAACGTAGTTAAATGAAGTTATTACTTGGTATTAGTTGTTTTGACTCAAGTCAGAATGAAATAAACTAGCTAGCTCTGAGTTTAAATGTTTTTCCTGTTACCCATGAACAATAAGACTTAACTTTTTAATTTTAATATATTAATATGCAAAGGCAGGATTAAGATAAGTCTAGGATGACAACAAATTTGCAGTGGATTGCCACCATAATGATCCGTCAATAAATTCGAGTACTGATCATCTAAAGTAGAAGACAATCTAATCACTCTGAACACTGAAATAAAATACTTCCTGTTCTCCACTTTGTGGAAAGGTGCTATTATGTAGTAGTTAGACATCTTGATAATTCAATGTCTATCTCAGGCATTTTTAAAAAATTTACTTTTCAAAAGAGTAAGATGTTAATACTGTTATGTAAGAGTTCTTGATCTAGTTTATGGGCTGTTCATGGCCCATCACTGTGTTTCTTAAAGTGGGTTTACAAAGTGAGCTGAATGTCTACTAACTCACAAGATAAATATGATATTTCCCTAAAGCTTCAATTTTATCCAATGGTTTGGAAAGTTAAATATAATATATTGAAATAAATTCTCTTAAATTGGTGGTAGTATCAACATTTCTTCTCTGTCTATAGCAGTACTTAATAGAAAAGTTCTGGAAGGAATGACCTAATTAGTACTTGTAGCACTCATCTAAACGTGATTTAGCAGTGTCAGTGAATTGACAGTTTCCACCATGAGGCATTAAAACCAAGTCTTACAGGAAGAATGAATCCAAGTTTAAATTTTCTTTAGATAAATTCATCACATTTGTATTAATTTAAATGTAAACAACCCTAATTAATGGCCAAATGTTTCCCAGTTTTCTAGGCTATTGCTTAGACATCATAAACTAGAATCGGTAAATTTCTAGGAAGTAACTGCAAACCCACCCAGATGATCGTTGTCAGGTTAGGGCTTTGACGAGAACAAAATGGCACATTGGAATATAGGAAGCAGAGATTCCTTACATTCTAGTTTTATTTTTAAATTTTTCTCTTCCCACTTTGGGTGGCTTTTTCCAGTGAAAAACTCCTTGATGCATTGTCACCAAGTCAATTTGTCAACTGTCATTAGAAATGGGAAAATGTACTAGATAAATAGAAGTCGATAAAATATCCAAGAAGAAAAACTAATCATAGAGATGTGGGGAAAATCAAAACAGAATAACAGACAAATTTATTCTTAGGCTGCACAGTGACTCTTGGATATTAGATGCATTTCAGCGTGTCCATAGCGAAGAAACCAAGTTCTTTGTACCATACGATTTGGAGATTTCCAATCAGGAGCTAAGTTACATAGTGAAAAGATCAGAGCAGTGGAGAGGAGTCGGTGGTGAAAGAAGGAAGGTGAGTGGTTTTAATCTGATTTTTTTATTCATTAAGTTTAGTGTACATTTTAGGTGTACAATATGATGACATTTATCATTGGGAATTTGTAACTTTACATAATCCATCTTGGTTCTTATTTTTTTTCCATTACCCTGTCCTCCTTTCAACCCATCCACCCCTCCCTATTTACAAAGACTTTGTGTTTTTTTCCTTTTCTCGTATTTTTTCCTTTCCCTTCTCTTCCTTCTTCTACCCCTTCCACTTCCCCTTCCCCTTTGGACCTTTTCTTCCTATTTCACACTATGTATTATACATTCTGGTCCTCATTTGCACTTTCAGTTTCTCACACCAGAAACTTTGGTATTTACACATGGGTCCTATTTATTTCACTTAAGAGTGTGGCCTTAATGTGCATCCATTTAGCTATGAATGACCCCAGTTTCTCATTCTTTATGGCTGATTAGTACTCTGCTTTATATATATATAAAAAAATTACATCTTCTTTATCCAGTCTCCACTTGATTGGCATGTGGGCTGTTTCCAAGTTTTAGCTATTACAAACTGTGCCTCTATAAACATGGGTTAGCATATATCACTATGGTGTGATTCTTTTAATTCTTTTGAGAAGATACCCAGCAGGGGAATAGCTGGGTCAAATGGGATCTCTAATCCTAGTTTATTTCTTTTTTGAATGTACAAAAGAAATTCACTCTGCCAGCTTTTCAGCAAGGGGTTGCATTTCTAATGTTGCTTGTGAAGCTATTTTCTCTTCTATGTGCCACTAGCTTACAAATCTTGCAACTTGACTTTAAACTGTTTTTGTTTTTTTTTTTTTGGTTTGTTTGTTTTTGTTTTTGTCAACATGAGGAAACTAATTTGGGTGGTTCTTACAGTTCAGCACAATTGTTCGTGAAGGGAGATATTTATTAGTGTGTACAGTTACATATGTGAAAATCACACAAGAGTTTGAAGAATGCATGAGGAGCTAGCAACAGGGTTTCTGCATGGGAGGAGGTTGTTGGCTTTCTAGTAACCTGTAGTAGACAGGAGGAAGGGAGTGCTCTTTTCACCGCCCTCCTGGGGCCTTGTTCATCCAGCTCCTGATTCTCATTCCTCTTTCAGTAATCTTCCTTACTGACTTCTTTTGTGGGGGCCACTTCCTCCATCAGCTTCTTAGCCCCTTCCAGGATTCTGTACCTGACTTGTTCCCCTTCTTACTCCACACCCTGCTTTTTGTCAACCACCTTGGAAATTGTCTTCCACATGTTGCAGATTCTTAGTTGTGTATCCGAAGGCTTCACCTCTCTTTCACTTCCCATACTAAGTAAGCCGGTAGCTCACTTGATATTTCCACGAAAATGCCAAAGATGCCAAAATTCCTGTACTATCCAGACAAGGTCTGTTTCACATGCATTGTTTAATTAACACCTGCATTTCATCTGCATAAGGAAATCACAGCATTTACTCTTGCACACTCTCTGAACATAACACTTTCATCTGCTTTGAATCCCAAAAGCCTCAAAGTCAGAGTTTTGTTAGGTTTGCCCTTGTCTCCTAGACTTTTATTTGATCACTGAGGCCTATTGAATCTACTCTCTTAATATTAGCTTTTATTTTAATTAATCCACTTGCTACTGCATACATCAAGGCCTTTAATATTCAGCTGCTGTGGAGCAGCAAGGCTGAACTGGTGCTCTCTCCACCTTCGGTCTCCATCATCACAGTCTATGAATTCACACTTAACTCCCGCCATAGTGACACTGCTAATATATAACTGTAACCCTGCCTTCCTATATCACAAACCCTTCAATAACTTCTCATCACTTGGAAAGCAAAAAACCAAAACTCCTACAGTTGGATAATTGCATTTTGAAATGATTCTCTTCTGCATTTTGAGTCACTTTTCCTGGATCGCCCCCCCTTCACACTCAGTATCACTCTTCAGGGCTTAGCTCAAGTGTCTTCTCAATGGCTCCAACTCAGGGCAGACCATTTCCTTTTTGTCCAAACTTCCTTTTTCAGTTGACTTTTCTAGTATTAGAACACAATTTGAGAATTACATGTTCACATGTCTCTCTTTTAGAGTGACATCTCATTGTGGAATTAGAGTGACTTATAAATATGTCTTCAATCTCTGGCAGTCTCTTGAATATAGTACCTGTCCACCTGATGTTTATTCAGTATATAAGAAAAATGTGTGAATGAATAGTTGAAAAATTGAGCATACAGTACTTAATTTGCCCACATAAATTTCACCTCGTGTATGCCTTATCTACATATGTACCTCACTGTACATATAGTTCATCTAATTTCCTGCCTGACAGAAACTTTAGATGTTACCTTTTAAAAATTATTGACTTCAGTATTAATATACTACGTATGTGCATCTTAAATTCTGTTTACTTCATCATTAACAGTGCAGCACACATCTCCAAGACTACTATTCCTGAATTGAAGCAAAGCAAGTTTTATCTTACCTTGTATTCATTCTGGTTTCTTCTTCTTCAAAAATCCTTGACTAACAGGAAGATGATAAAAGTCGCAAATTGTTGAAATTAATTAAGCAAAGAGAACTTCCTTTCTAAGATAATTTCACATGCCTAGGATAGGTGGAATATGGTTTATTTCATGACTAGGTTTTACAACATGGAAGTTTAGAAATTTGGACACAATACAAAATTGAGTACCTCAGTGATTTGATTTGAATCTAAAAAGAGAAATCAGAATTATTTGAGTATTTATTAGTTCTGTTTTAACAAAGTAGGAGAGGGGGAGAGAGAGAGAGAGAAAGACAGTTACAGAGAGAGCCACAGAGAAGGTGAAATATAGTACTTAGTTGCTGTGAAGAAAATTGAAAGACGTGAAGTTGTTTAATTCTTTAGATATAACATTTATGCCTTTCTTTGTAAAATGTCTTATTGACCCATGATGGACAACAGTCAGATTCAGGAAGAGACCTCAAACCTTGAGTGTCGGTATTTCACTGTGTTTACCTTCAAATAGAGCAAGGAAAATATAATTTGATTAAATATAATTAAAATGAACAGTTTAATCAAAGGCATTAGAATTTTTTGGCTCAAATTTATTTGTACTGTTGACAGAAGTGCATTTATCTTGGTTAATGGCTGCTTGTTCCTTCAGAATATATATATATATCTCAGTCAGTGAAAGGAAGTCATGGAGATGTTTACTCAGATTGTTTAAAAATTCAGAGAATGCCTGTGTTCCTTATTGTTGGGTTATGGTTAGCAAGCCTACACAAACAACCTCAAACTAAAATGGATAGACATACATATTAAGTTTTTTATGTCTTTCCATGCCCTGAATATTTGCACTGTGAAGCCTTCTTCCAACTTGTTTTTTGTACGTTATTCTTCTTATGCCATCTTATGTTTGCCTGTTTAGTTTATTTCAATGAGGAAGCAAGATTGCCTTATTAAATAATTGATGTAGTAATCTCAAGTACCGGCTTAGTTGAAAACAATCATCTGTAATCTGAAATGCCAAACTGAATGGAATAGACCTTTTAATATAAAACTATTTCAAAGTAAATAGTCTAGAATTCTTGTGATCTAAAAATTTGATCTAGGTGTTTGCCATAGCACTAGCAATTAAACCCATGCTTCTCATTTTTTATGATCTGGAATAAAAATTGTCCCATGAATGGACACTTTATATTATGCTTAATTTCGTTTTCTTAAATTGATGAATGCAAATGCATAGACCATATTTGCAGTGTGATGAGAATTTAGGATTATTGCATTTCATAATTTTTATATCGTTCATATATGTGATTTATCATTTGCGCAAAGACAGCCACATTATAATTTTCAAATTTTTCTTAGCCATTTTTTGATAAAGAAAAGGTCACTTTCAGTAGTCAGAAAAGACATTATTATTCTATTAAACTAATTTGCCTACATGCAAATTTTGTCATTTTTACCTCATTAACTATTTATCATGGAGTAAAAATATATATATTCATGAAGGGGCAGCTCACAGCCTGATGGAGCTGGAACTAATATTTTGCAACTCTAATGATTTTTTGCATCCTTAATTAGATAGCATAAGGTTGATATGATTAGGTCAGGATGTAGTGTTTTTCATTAAAATACATTTTAGAAGCTGTGTTCATAATCTGCCCTTGCAATTAAATAATGAGCCTATGAATTTAATATTATCGACCCAATTATTATCCCGTGCAAACGTATACCTTTAATAAATTTGTGCCGTAGGACCTTCATTAGCAACAGAAAGAATGATATTTCTAGGTACATAGATTGAATGGCTATGGTTAAACTTATAGAATGGTTTTAAACATATCAGAAAGCAAAGCTTCAACACATAGGCATTCTAAAATGTGCCTTAGTATTTGTTGAAGGCTATTTACATTTAATTATTTTCTTAAAGAAACTACCACTTTAAATCAGGCTATTGAAGCTCATAAAAATAGCAGGATACTAGCTGGAACTGGAGGGTTAGATCCAGTTGTTCATCCATAGGCCAATGATGTGTAAATTTACAAATCTACTCATGAGAAAAATTGGAGAGCATTTAATATAAAAATGTTTATTTCCCAAGCATCTATATTATCCAGGAAGAACCATAAGCAATTAGTGTCAATTATTATTTTTTGTTTTTGTTAGGACAGTTTTAATACAATGCAAGTGCGTACGGTGTATATGGAGCCTGAGAAAGAATGGCTTATCTCCTGTTGCAAATGTGTACAGGAAATCACACATGTAGAAACCTAGCTCACTCATTTTTTATAAGTTGTTACTGATCTGCTGCTATTTTTGTGTACTATCGTAGTGAATGATTGACATTTGCAGTTCTTTCCTGATGAAATTTTATGAAGAAATAAATTTATATATAATTTATAATGCTTTAATTAAAAACATGAAAAACAGAACCAATCTTTAGTGATAAATCGAAGCATTGTGATCCATACAGAAAACTGCAGATTATGCATCAGTAGTCTTGTTTTCATACAAGTAGCGCTCTTTTCTACCTGAGAA